GGGGGGGGGTCTTCGACCTGAAAAATCAGGGGTTAGGATTTGCACCCGGTCGAAAGAAACCTTGCTATCGCAAGAGTAACTCCAGCTAGCTTCGCTAGCTTTCGTGAAAAGGTGATTCTCCGAGCTATCCTCACCAGAAGGAAAACAAAGCTAATGATATGCACTTAAAACTTAAGAGAAACACTATATAGATCGAATCATGTTCTATCTAGTTCTCACCTCTTGCGGCATGGGTCGGCGCCCCCTCTCTTTCATATCACCCGACCACCTGGAGGCCTTGCTTGGCCGGTCCTGCTGGTGAACGGCGATGATCTCTGCCAGGAACTCCCCGCCACACTGGCTGCATCGCACCGGGCGCTTGGGGCAGCGAGCCACATGCGTCTCCTTGTCGCCCAGGCGAAAGGTCTCATCGCAGCCCAGCGGGCACCTGGCTGCGAGGGATCGGCCTTGTGAAAGCTACACTGCATTGATCCCCTAAACCCGATACTAACATATACGTATAGATATACTAGATATAGTGTGTATATATATATATATATGTGTGTGTGTGTATATATCCGTCTATTACTATATAATACCTCGGCACTTGCCTGGGCCTTTTTCCCCCTCGAAACCGCTCCAGACTTACAGTAACTTGGTGGATGACGTGGATGCTTTCACGTGACGGGTCGAAAAGGGTGATATGATGCGACGTGTCTACTGGAAAGGGGACAGGATGGGACAAGCATCCTGACCCGCCTGATCATAAGATTCAGGATCTTGCGTTGATCACGGGGCGCCCTCACAATGCCTTGCCCATCCTCGCGGCATACGGGGCAACTGGGGTTCTCGGCAATCCATCGAGTCCAGCATAGATCGCAGAAGAGGTTTCCACAGTCGTGTGCTAAAGCATCCCGCGCGACACACATACAAATGGGGCACTGCATGCTGTTGGCTTCCGCCACGTCCAACCACTGCTCATCGTGCCCACCATCTGGATGTGGAACTGGCTGAAGAGGCTCGGACGGCGCCGACATGTGTGAACTGGCCGCCGACACCGCCGCGCTGCTCGCACGGGAGTAGGCTGCGGCAGTGGCGGCTGAGATTTCAATCATCAACTCCTGGTCAGCGTCAGAGCTTACTTGTGGTGATACTCCGCCGGCGCCTTGAACCTCCTGTTGGGCAGCAGCTCCATCGGCTTCAACGACGAAGAGATCGAACTTGCCAAAGGCCCCCACACGATACGCTCCTCTGGCACCGCTTTGATCCCACCTCACTGTAACCCAACCAGGCCCGACGCCATCCATGCCCAGGGTCACGCCAAGCCCTCCCGCATCCTGGTCACCCCACTTCCAATCCCTTCCTCTCCTCACTCGAACATCTGCCTCCGCACACCTCAAGATTCGAGCTGCAGCCGGTGATGCTGGAGAGGAGGCTCCATCAATGATGAGGTCATAGTTCCCGCCCGCACCAACTCGATACTTGAATTCGCTGCCGGCATCCCACCTCACACTGACCCAGCCATCTTCGTCAGCACCTGGCACCGTGGTGCCTGGACCTCCTCCATCCTGGTCATCCCAGTCCCAATCAGGACCTCTTCTCACCCGAATGCCCACCTCCGCAGACCTTAAGGCCTGACCCTCAGAAGTGAGACCGCTACGCGATGTCCGGAGGTCTCTTGCAGCCCTCATGCTTGAGCCGTCGACCGGCTCGAACACCCACGAAACGACATGCAAACGTGAAGCCAGCAGCACCCGCGACGCCGCGAGCGATGCCTCTTCGTTCGGCCCGATGCTTCCAAAGCCCCAAACAGTCATATCATGTCAGGCAATGTCACACGACAGGTCAGTCCACACCCACATCCACACTCTCTGAGTTGGCTTTTGAGGCCCAACAAATCATCACAGATATATACTATATTGTATACATCCCTAGGCCCTGGCCGCTCTGTCTCCGCAATGTTGCCACAGATCCGATCAACCCAAGGAGAGCCATAAACCGAGCGGCGCGAAGCACTGAGGGCACGGCGCGTGCCACATGCCGCAAGCCGCTCAGCGGCCTCCATGGCCTTGGCCGAGATGCCGGGGTTCAGTAGACTCCTAAAACCTTCAGACTTCACGAAACATCTACATATATATATATACTGTATATATATATATATATATGTGTGTGTGTTTTGTTTATTTGTTTTAAAAGACTGCTTATGGTCCTTCGAACAATGCCAAAATTTTAACATGATGCCAAGTTAAAGGTTGAACACCGTACTCTAAATAAACATCACACCCCAAAAACTGAATAAAACAAAGAGGAAGCACGCGGCACTGGCTTTCAGGGCCCCCCACCCCGCAGGATCCATCCAGAATGACCCACAGCGCCACTGGGGAAGACCATTGGAAGACCTTGGACTTGGAGTCGGAGGCCCGCAAGTGATGGGAGAAACAAGATATATACAGAATAATATACAGTAACTGACCAAACTAAACCCAAACCGAACAGTATGTTTCGAATTGCCTGGGCATAGGCCCAACCCATCCAAGGTGGCATTTGGATGGCATTGGGCCTCTTGAGAAACCACAACCCCAAATGCCTTTTGAAAGGTCGGGGCTTGAAAACCAACGCCAAGAGGTCCAGCTCCAAACAAGAAGTGTTGTGCACACCGGAACGCTTGCATCTGGCTCTTTAAATGGATCTGCCTTGACAGGAGCCCTATCCTTGAAGTCCTAGAGCCCCCGGACCGCCAACTCCACCGCTTCTGTCGAGTCCCCACGTCCCACCGAGCACCGAGGCCACTTTCCGGAGGGCTCTTTCTTCAAGGGCGAGCTGCGGTCTTCAGCTCGGTCCGGGATCGCCCCAGACATGTGAGCAGGGCTATGTCTTGAACAGTGCCCCACCAGCAAATGCTTCACTAAAACTGTGCCGAGAGCCAACCAACATGTAAGAAGCAGTCAACTTGAAAACGCCAAGTTGAACTCAAAGGCCAGTCGGCATAGATTGCAAAACAAACATGATACGGTCTCCTACAAACTCTCGACACAAATATCAGAACGTGGGACTCCTTCGGAGGTTCCTTCCGCCTTCGGGCGAGGTGGACATGGAAACTGCTTGGGTGGCACTGGCTGCCGCACGAAGCGTGACTCCGGGCTGTTGCCTCTCAAGCTCATGAACTCTTACCCTCAAAGACTCATTATCCTTTTTTAAAGATTTGTTCTCCTTCAAGAGGACCAGCATGTGCGATCCCACGTTGGCCGCCAGGTGAGCTTCAAGCTGGTCCACCTTGACCTGCTCTCCGCACAGCTCACAGGGAGTTGGGCGCGCTTTGCACTCGTCCTGCCCGATGTGAGGGAGTCTCACCATGCGATTTATATAATGCCTTCAGTTAAATAATTAACATCTTAATCTACAGAAATTATACCCCAACCACTTCACTGGTGCTGTCTTCCCCCAAAGAAAAATAGAAATAAAACATGACTGCTTGTTTGGATGTCTGCAATGCAACAATCCTTGTGGTGAGCAGACATCATCTCGGCCAGAACCTCCTCACCACATAAGCTGCATCGTTCCTTGCGCTTGGGACATTGGGACACATGCTCCTCCTTGTCACCCAGCCGAAAAGTCTCCTCGCAACCCAGGGGGCATCTGATCATGAGGTTCAGGATCTTGCGCTGATCACGGAAAGCCTTGGCAATGCTGACCCCATCCTCACGGCAAACTGGGCATCTGCTGTTCTGTGCAATCCATCTGGTCCAACAGATCTCACAGAAGAGGTTCCCACACTCGTGGGCCAACGCATCCCGCGGAACACAGAAACATATGGGGCACTGCATGCCAGTGGCTTCCTCCATGTCCAGCCACTGCTCATCATGGCCTCCTTCTGGCTCTGCCGGAGCAGTGGTTTGGGATGAGGCTGCAGCTGCTGCCCCCTCCCTCCCTCGAGCTCCATGTGCTTCCGCTACAATCAAGTCATATCTGTCAGGACCTATGTGATAGCTGTTCATTCGGTCGCCGTGATCCCATGTGACCAGCACACCAAGGCCTCCTTCACCTGTTGTGGTTCCAAGGCCACCTCCATCCTGGTCGCCCCAGTCCCAACCAGGTCCTCTCCTCACTCGGACGCCCACGACAGCAGACCTCAGAACTTCTCCAGGTTGTACTGCAGCGGATCGCTGGATCGGGCCAGAGCTAGATGTCGAGTTGGCGCCCGGGCGCTCGACCACAATCAAGTCATGCAGCCCACGAAGGCCCACACGGTAAGCCCCCCGGCGCCTGCTGTGGTCCCACCGGACTCTCACCCAGCCTGGATCCGGATCCTCTTCGGTAGTGCCTACGCCTCCCCCATCCTGGTCGCCCCACTCCCAATCGGGCCCTCTCCTCACTCTGACGCCGACCTCCGCGCTCCTCAAGACTTCTCCGGGTTGAGCTGGAGGGGGAGTGGATGCAGTAGACGCAGTGGACGCTTCAGCTGCGCTTTCGTGATTGGTCGTTTCAGCTGGGGGTGCCTGGTCTGTTCCAGAAGCTCTATGCGCTTCAGCCACGATCAAATCATACATGTTGTTAGCGCCGACTTGGTAGGAGTTTGTAGAGCCATCATCCCAACTAACTCGCACCCACCCTGGTAGGGTCGCTCCTGCGGTGGTTCCCAAGCCCCCCCCCGCCCTGGTCACCCCACTCCCAGCCTGGCGCTGCTCTGACCCGAACCCCCACCTCGGCAGACCTCAAGACTTGGCCTGAAGCAGCTCCCTCTCTGGCTTCGCGAGTTGTTTCTCCAGAAGCTCGAGCACTTCCAGCAGCTGAAGATCTGGCACCACCTGCATCTCCAGCATCTCCAGCTTCAGCCACGACGAGATCATACCCGCCATCTCCACCGACTCGATAGTTGTATGTGTTACCACTGTCCAGGTCCCATCTGACCGTCACCCAACCCTCATGCGACCTCTTGGTGGTCGTTCCGAGGTGTCCCGCACCTCCATCTTGCTCGTCCCACCTCCAATCAGGCCCTCTCCTCACTCGGACGCCCACCATCGGGGACCTCAGAACTTCTCCAGGTTGCACCGAAGGGGGAGTGGATGATTCGAGCATCAAATCGTAGCTTCCACCTGCGCCAACCCGATAGTTGTCCTCTCCACCGACATCCCACTTCACGCGTACCCAACCGTCTTCATCCGCACCCTCCACTATAGTGCCTGGGCCGCCTCCGTCCTGGTCATCCCATTCCCAGTCAGGACCTCTCCTGACTCTGATGCCCACCTGCGCAAACCTCAGAACTTCACCAACCTCCCGCTGCGACCGCAGCTCTCTTGCAGCCCTCATCCTTCGATGAGGGCTCGGGCCAAAGTAACTACAGCGGCAACAAGTTCTAGGCAGTCGTGAGTCGTGAGATGCTGGCTAGCGACCTCTTTCAATATATATATATATATATTGCAGTTGATGTCACATAGCGTTCGATATAATATATATATATATACATATATCATTTAACTTAAAGGGAAAGGGAAGAAAGAACCGTGCAACCAGAGCAACGACAAACAAGTTCAACCAGCACACCTCCACCGACAAGTGCCCAAAAGCGACTGTCGCAGGAGCCAAGTGGCTGGCCTTCAGCACTGGAATCGGAAGATATGATGATCTGCGCGTGGCAAATGCAAAACTGGGATTGGTCGGATTGGTGTCCCGTGGCCACTGGTTTGAACCATGCTGAATCCAATGAACCACAGGGCTGCTAGTGAAGGTTTGCCTAGAAAGTCTCAATTGAAGCCATGGCAGGTTTACAGGTCGCTCCATGCATTTTGATGTTCGGGTCAGTCGTCCAAGCCCCACGAATCATGCCTGCAAAGCCCCAGACGAGCAGCTGGTGGTTTTTAGCAGAGGTAGCGGGGTAGCTTAAGAAAAAGTATACAAAAGTTAAGGCAGGCATGGTTGTGACAGTATGTTATGCTGCATGATGTGGTGGCATGCATCTGCCCAATCATGGTAAATGAGATGTTCTGCTTGTCTCTGGAGAATCCACGTCAGGGGCCAAAGTTGCAGGACATGTGACATGTGAGTGCGGGCCGTGTCTTAAACAGAGCATGTGAGTGGGCCGTGTCTTCAACAGTGCCCAGCCCACCAGCCATCAACTGCGGAAAATGTGCCGAATGCCTTCATCACAACGACCAGTTTGACAGTTCCTTCGAGCATGTCGAGCCTGATAGGCCCGATAGGCGCTCGGTATCCGTGGCAGTTCACTGACATGGGCGGGATGCCCGACACCCCGAGGCCGTAGGTTTCAACATCTCAAGGCCCCTTTGGTCGCCTTCCAGCTCTCGTCACATAAAAAATGTGTGCATCTATATAAGTGCGCCTCACTCTTCACTCTTCGGACTGTTGGTCTCCTTTGGAGCTTCCAATCATCCGCTTCTCGAGTTCATCGACCCGCAGCTTCAAGGCGCCGTTGTCCATCTTCAACGACTCATTCTCCTTTTTCAAGGATTTGTTCTCCTTGAGGAGGGCGAGAATGTGCGATCCTACGTTGGCCGCCATGTGGGCTTCAAGCTCATCCATCTTGACTTTCTCTCCACAAAGTTCACAGGGCATTGGACGGGCTTTGCACTCTTCCTGTCCAATGCGCGGTTGTCGCATATCGATCGATCTATTGAATCTATTGAATCTATTGCACTTCAGGAGTGAACTACATTTACATTTGAGTCAAAACATGTCAGACCCAAATCCCACTACTGCAGTTACAGCAGGTGTCATTGAGAAAGTTCCCCGGAACCCGTCCTTCTTGTGAACAGAGATCATCTCGGCCAGAACCTCCTCACCACATAAGCTGCATCGTTCCTTGCGCTTGGGACATTGGGACACATGTGCCTCCTTGTCCCCCAGCCGAAAAGTCTCCTCACAACCTAAGGGGCATCTGATCATGAGGTTCAATATCTTGCGCTGATCACGGAAAGCCTTGACAATGCTGCTCCCATCCTCACGACACACTGGGCACTTGCTGTTCTGTGCAATCCATCTAGTCCAACAAATCTCACAGAAGAGGTTCCCACACTCGTGGGCCAACGCATCCCGCGGAACACAGAAACATATGGGGCACTGCATGCTAGTAGCTTCCTCCATGTCCAACCACTGCTCATCGTGGCCTCCTTCTGGCTCTGCCGGAGCAGTGCTTTGAGATGAGGCTCCAGCTGCTGCCCTTGAATCCGCCCCTGGGACTCCATCCACGTCTGCAACGATCAAATCGTAATTGCCATCTCTGCCAACACGATAGCTGTTTGTTGAGCCGTCGTGATCCCATCGCACCTGCACACCAATGAGCGCGGGGTTGTCTGTGGTGGTTCCAAGGCCTCCTTCGCCTCCATCCTGGCCGCCCCAATCCCAATCAGGCCCTCTCCTCACTCTGATACCCGCCACGGCAAGCCTCAGAACTTCTCCAGGTTGCACTGAAGGTGCAGCAGACTGCGCTGTGGAAGAGTCAACGACGAGGTCATGGAGCCCCCTCTCACCCACTCGGTAGTTGTACTCGCCACCGGCATCCCACCTTACACTGACCCAGCCATCATGGTCACAACCTTCAACCGTGGTGCCTGGGCCTCCTCCGTCCTGGTCATCCCAATCCCAATCAGGTCCTCTCCTCACTCTGACACCTAGCTGGGCAGACCTCAGAACTTCTCCAGCAGGCAAAGCTGATGAGCCAGCGATCACGTCAGGGGCTGCTTCAGCCGCTTCAGTGCTGTGGACCAGCTGGACTACCCTCACAGGTGCCCATTGCGCTGGCCACCTGGTTGAAGTGAACCAACCCCCATCGATTTCACGAACAGTGACCGTCCAACCTGCATTGAAGAGCAGGGTGCTACCGGGGCAATCTGCAAAGTCAACTACTTCGTTGGGTTGTGTGAACCTCACTTCGTCCCCCACCCTGATGTCGCGGTGCGATTCTGCGATGGTCAAATCATAGTCTCCACCGGCACCAATCCGATAGTTGTCCTCCCCGCCAGCATCCCACTTTACGCGCACCCAACCGTCTTCTTCAGCACCCTCCACTATAATGCCTGTACCTCCTCCGTCCTGGTCACCCCAGCTCCAGTCAGGACCTCTCCTGACTCTGATGCCAACCCCCCAAAATCTCAGAACTTCACCAGCCTCCCGCTGCGACCTCAGTTCTCTTGCAGCCCTCATCCTTCGATGAAGGCTCGAGCCGAACTACAGCAACGGGTTCACGGAGATATACGGAGATCCCATTTGAATCCATTAGGTCTCTCTCACTCTCTCAATGAACTCCGAGGAAGCTGCATTGCATCACCAAAAAGGCAAAGAGGCATGGAGCTATTTGAGGAGTTCGTTCACGCCGCCCCGCCTTCAGCAAGAATGGTCTTGATCTGCCAGACTCGATGGCCTCAACAAAGCAAATGAAGGGAACTTCAGGAGCCATCTGTCAACAAGACTGAGAGTCCAAGATCTCATGCGACCCCCGAGGCGACCCTCCGAGTCCAACATGTCTATCAGCAGGGATGCAGTATCTATGAATCTATACTGACTGGTGCTTAGCAGGGAATGAGGGAATGGATCCAATAGAATCTCTATTGGGGGCTCATTCCCTTATTCCCTACTAAGCACCAGTCAGTATAACGTTCTCAAGTCTGGAAGTGCTCAGTCACAACTCTTGACCCTTTGGATCCCGCTCAGGCAGGTGCGTCCCAACATGAAGGACTCCCAAACCAATGGGTGTTCAATGGTTCTCAAGCTGCTTCTCCCATGCACCTGTGTCTGCAGTGTCTCCACAAACCGAACCCATGCCTCCGGACAGCCATCGTAATACGTCCTAATCGCATTCCATAGACCTTTGTGGCCCAAGTTTCCGATCTGCTGCAATTTTGCCGTGTTGCAAAGCCGCACTCATTGGTCGGAGAAGAAGTGAGACAGTGATGTTTCATTCAATACTGATTTTCGACAAGCCCGCATGCGTAACGGCAGAATGATCTGCGACAAATATCCACATGGGACGGGTCGCTTTCCTCATGATTCTTACGGCTGCTGGACCCCTGACAGAGGCTCAATCATGCAAATCTCTTGTTGCAGCCCAAGGCCATTCGTCAACAGGCCCCGGCAAGCGGTTTCGCCTGCGCTGCTTCCACCTAGCCGCTTGGCCCATGATGTCGGTCATGACAACGACCAACATCCTTTCATAACTCGCTGCGCGGCTGCATGGAGCGCCTCAATGCGACCGGTGCTGGGAGGGCTCGTCAGCTGCACAGTACAAGATCTCAAGAAAATTGGGCACCGGTGCAAAGTGCATCTCTTCATCGCCACAATGATCACAGCAGCAACTAGTCACGCAAGTGTGGCTCTCAATGGTCAGTTCGTTCGTCTCCTTCAGAGCTTTTCATGAATCGCCTCTCCAGCTCGTCGAGCCGCAGTTTCAATCCATCATTGTCCTTCTTCAACGATTTGTTCTCCTTCAGGAGGGCCAGCATGTGCGATCCTACATTGGCTGCCATGTGGGCTTCGAGCTCATCCATCTTGACTTGCTCTCCACAAAGTTCACAAGGCATTGGCCGGGCTTTGCACTCTTCCTGCTCTTCTGGCAACTGCGGATGAATGTAACTTGCAGCCCTGGTAGTTCAGTTCGTGCGCACACACATATATATATATATACATATACACAGTATAGATATATATATATATGCGTGTGTGTTGCACAGCGTGTATATATATATATATATTACGGTCAATTACCGTATACATGTCTTTAGTCAGTCACAGTGCCTCGTTCTTTAAAGTGCGGGCTGTGTATGACCACATGTTGACATGTTATCTGAATAAGTGCTCTAACCGCTAACCCCTACAGCCCTCAAGCAACAGTCCTTCTGGTGAAAAGAGATGATCTCAGACAGAATCTCCTCACCACATTGGCTGCACCGCTCCTTGCGCTTTGGACATTGGGACACATGCACCTCCTTGTCCCCCAGCCGAAAAGTCTCCTCACAACCTAAGGGGCATCTGATCATGAGGTTCAATATCTTGCGCTGATCACGGAAAGCCTTGACAATGCTGCTCCCATCCTCACGACATACCGGGCACTTGCTGTTCTTTGCAATCCATCTGCTCCAGCAAATCTGACAAAAAAGGTTTCCACACTCGTGTACCAGGGCATCCCTTGGCACACACATGCATATGGGGCACTGCATGCTAGTGGCTTCCTCCACATCCAACCACTGCTCATCATGGCCCTCATCGGGCTCTGGCTCAGCAAATGCTTCAACTGTAGCCTCACCTTCTGCACCCAATCCTCTATGCCCTTCAGCCACGATCAAATCATGCATCCCATCTCGACCAACTCGATAGCTGTTCGTCGAGCCATCATGGTCCCACCGCACCGTCACCCAGCCCTCGATCTGCGACGGATCCGTCTCCGTGGTGCCGAAGCCGCCTCCATCCTGCTCGCCCCACTCCCAGTCCGGGCCCCGCATCACTCGGACACCTGCCTCTGCGGTCCTCAAGACTTCACGCGGTGCGGAGGGTGATGCGGAAAGTGGGGAGGAAGAGTCAATCACCAGATCATAGCCACCCTCAGCACCTACCCGGTAGCTGTTGGTCGATCCATCTTCCCATCGCACTGTCACCCAGCCAGCAGATTGTTCCGGATCCGCCTCGGTGGTGCCGGGACCTCGTCCATCCTGGTTGCCCCACTGCCAATCGGGACCTCTCCTCACTCTGACACCGACCTCCGGGGATCTCAAGACCTGCCCCTCACGCGACCGGAGGTCTCTGGCAGCCCTCATCCTACGGAGGTTGAGCCAAAGCAGGCCAGGCACCAGAGGTGGGAGCTCTATTGGTGGTGGAAATGTGGTGAAAATGGAGAGGTCGGATTGATCCTAACATGGGGAGATTGCCACGGAGATTGCCTGTTGGGAAGGAAAATTAAGGTGCAGCTCAGAGTTCATTTCTATACACCCAAGCCTTGAGGGATCTGTTTCAATCCGTGGACCACCGGTGGGCCACTGCCACGTCCGCCGGAAACGGGACCACGGCCTCTGACGACCCTCCAACTGATCACACCCGTGTCGTTGAGGACTTCGCCGCCTTGAAAGGTGCCATGACTCTGCCAGATCTAGTCAATAGCTGGAGCAGTAACATTGAACCTACTGCACATAAGCTGTGAATAAACGGCCAAATAGCATTGTTGCAGCCGCGGCCTAGCTGTTGCTTGCGAACCTCGACTACCCTTCGCCATTGTTTTCTTAAAAGAGGGCACGGCCATGTCAAAAGCTCGCTCGGCGCTGAATTTTTGGCTGAGAGCACGGCTGATTATCAAACATCTTCAAAGAGGTCCTCGTCAAACAAGACGTCTAAGTCCAAGTTCTATCTTCGGATTGTTCATGATCTTCATGGTATGTGTCTTTGCACGGGTCTGCATTGTTGTCGTGGCTAAAGGCCACCCATACGTAGCTACATACTGGCCCAGCATGCATCTCTATAGCGAATTGCATGCAGTTTGTGGAGTCTGGTTCTGCAAGCCCGAGCCCCGCTCCTCTCTTCAAGGTCGGCACAAGGTCCTGGCAAATGCAGCAAAACAAAAACTCAATCCAACTCCACGTTAAACTACTGGGGTCCTGAAACCCTCTCTAGGCGCATTGGCACAATCATCTGCCGTTGAGGGGCCTTCTCATTCATGCAAGATCGGTGAGCTACTTCAATACCTGTAGCAAATCCATTCAGCAGGGCTTCTACGTTTGCAGCGGCCCTGCTAAAGATGGATCCAGGAGCACTTCACTGACATGACGCAGGTGTGAATCGGCTAAGAAACAGCCGATGCATGAATCGAACTCCGAACCTCTTCGAACGCGGCACATTTCGTTGGAAGTCTCCAGAGTCCCATCCTACGGGGCAGCCCCAGCACGTTGAACAGGCAAAGACCCGCTAAGTGGAGGAAAGAACGATGAACACCACCCCTGACGGCACACTCATTCACTGTTCGAACACAGGCGGTTGTGGCCTCACGATTTCAGTCCGCTCTGGATTTGAGAATTTGGGGGGCCCGCTGGCAAGGCTGCGAATCCATCACATCAAAGACTCAAACCAGTAGGGGAGTAGGGCCTGCCACCCACGAATCTCTCCACCAAAGCCCAAATGAAATGGCACGGCTGCAACAGATGGTGCTCCATGGGAAATCGGCAGCGACCGGTGACCCTTTCCAATCACAAGGACCAAAAGTTCCGAACAAACCAGTCCCAGAAATCTCTGCCATCAACGTCCTCCGTGGCATTGCCATCATCCTGGCTTGCCATCATCCTGGATCATGGGATCACCTGCCAGGCCACAGTTTTGGGATTCAAGTCAACTTCAAAACGGTTCAAAAACGGGGTATCGGGATGTCTTGGGGCTCTCGGTTCTTCACTGGGATGAGCTCTCGGAATGTGATGGGCACTATCGGCATGACATACAGCGGTTGGTCTCTGAAGGTATGGTGATCGTGACCAAGACTTGTGGATTTGGGGGTTGAAGGTTCTTGAGGTCAACCAGACAGGTCATGGGGGTGGGGGCCTGGAGAACACCAAGCAAGATAGATTAACAAATGGATTTGGATAGCATTGGGTGCATTCAAGCTTCATTTTGGTTTGAAGGATCAACATCCAAAAAAGATCAAAAAAGTGCTCCAATGGTTTATACTTTATAGCAATGATGTTCAAGGTGTGGTTAGTGTTGGAATCTGGCAGGCACGAACCATGATCTGCCGTCGCTCTCTGATGATCTGCAGCGGATGATGTTGGTCGAACAGCTCACCGAAGTGGTGCAAATAAGTAGGAAGCCGCAACCCTCTCGGTTCGCATGGTCCGAACTCGTCCTTCCCTACAAGTGCCCCTGCTGAGGTAGATGACGGCCAGTGAAACCGAGGTACTGATAAAAGTGCTGGACCGTTCGGGCATAACCCCCCCCAGTATACATGATGATCACCACCTCAGATCCTTCAGGAAAAGCCAAAACACGATCCATGACAATGAGTATGGATGCTAGGTCAACCATGCGCAGTTGGAAAACATCAACGATAATCTTCGCCAATACACGTTGCCTGCGAGTAGTGGGGCCAGAGCTTGGACCATAGGACAAGATTTCTTGCATCGCTTCGTCAAAGGAAGGTATCCGGATTCCACTCAAATTGCGAGACTGAGTCCGGACGGACAAGCTGGGCATCTCCTTCGCTCTCCGCGGCGGATTGGGATGGTTCGCGTCGGTGTCCTCGGGGATGTCGCGGTGGCCTCGCGAGCCGCGTGGTCCTTCTCCTTGACATCCTTGGAAATGCTGAAGTGAGCTGGAAAAACGTTAAAATGGATGGGGGTCCCTCAAATCAGCGGAAAAACGCAATGTCATAAGAAGAACTCCAAGCACACCTAGCATCTTCCAAGAGATTCTCCGTGACTTTCAAGCACCATTGCTGTGCTTTCTCCGCCAGCGCCGTCTCACGCGTTCCGCCAGCTCCTGGGCGGCCCTTGCGCGCTCATCCGCGCTCATCCGCGCTCATCCGCGCTCATCCGCGCCCCGCCCTGGGATCGGTTGGGTCGTATCGGTGCGGAGAGAAGTACAGCAACTCCGCCTTTTTTTCCACCAAAGAATGCTTCCCTATGAAGCGCATGAAGGCACCAAATAGCGCACATGTACGCCACATGATCCATGCCGACCCGTTTTGACACGAGGTGCTGGCAGCTGGCAGCTGCAGCTCCAACCACTCTTCTTCCAGATCCCTGAGCTGACCGTCCGGCACAAGGCATTGAGCTCCGGGTTTCCGAGTTCTCTCAACTCGAAGAAATGGACGCGCTCTGAAGGGAGGTTGTCCCTCACACGCCGTACTAAGTAACTGCAGGAAGGCACCAGCGCCATCCTGGGGCGAAAATCGAAGTGATCTTATGTCCGTCATGTCCTGGCCCAAACAGTTGCAGCTTCCTCTCCACTATCCAGTTCCATAGCTTGGCAACTTGCATCAGCAATGGGAGTTGAATTCTTCTCTGGATTCTCATGCAGCTCAACTTCAGTTGACCGCACCGGACGGGACCTTCCAAAATGAGTTCCACATGTGGCAAACGTCGAGCTCTAATCAACCAGTCATCGAAGAGTTCCACACCCTCCATGCGCAGTCTCTCCTTGCACCGGGCAATGATGGCATCATGCTCCTCAGGCAGAACCTCGATGCCTTCCACCCTTCTTGTCATGAATATACCTGGCATCTGGATCCAAGTCTTTCCAAAGAAAATACTGAGTGTTCTCCTCTTGCTCTCCAGGCTTCACTGCAATCTCCTGCCCCACACCGTTCACAGAGTCCACCATATGGAAGAGCAGAAGACCTCCGTCATTCTCAAACGTCATGGCATGAGACGCCCACTTCTTGGCGACTTGCAGGGTCACGTTGCTCCTGCTGCGCCCGTAGAAGAAAGGCATCGCTGCTGTCCACCCAGCCCATCGTCGGTTCAAGGATGCTTTTGGTACGAGTCAAATCCACCGCCTCATGGGTTTCCCCACGAAGAACTAGGGCCACCTCGCGCCCACACAGGTTGCCACACAGGGTCTGAATGCAGCTGGGCCTTGTGGTGCGGGCCGGAGCTGGAGCCCATGGAGCTGGACACCAATTGGTGTAAGCCGGAACCGTTGGAGTTCTTCAGCGACTGCGGCATCCAAATCCCAGACAGCATGGCCAAGCCTTAAACTGCTGGGACGTCCAACAACGCTTTGCCGCCAATATGTTCTTTGTTCTGCAGCTGAGCAGCTGATTGAATGTGTGTTTTTGTGGCATGATGGTCTAAGTTTCCAAAACCACATGGCACAGCGACATCA